CATAATCATCCACATGCATTCAGCGGTGTAATTTTAACACTCCCACTCACCGCTAATGTCAATCTGTCCTTTCACAATTACAAGAGTCACGTTGACTGTGTTCAACACTATAATGTCATAAGTACATTTTTACGATCTCTGACGTTGGTCTCTGCGCGCAGTCGACTAGAGGTCTCAATCTGCACTATTACAATTACAAAAGTCATGTCGACTGTTTTTCAAATCATGTTGTAATAAGTACATATGCACGATCTCTGAAATTCCTCTCTGGACCTCTGATCCAGCCACAAATTTTGCCGTCAAATTGGATATTGTTGATCGATCCAAGTTATTTTTCGCAATACTTTTGCCATTAAAAAAAGACACGGAGTTCAAAACTGGGTCAGACGGTGGGTGAGCGCTGTCAATGCTCCTTGGGAAACGACTAGGCAGAGTGGCACACCCGAGAGTGGAGAGCATTGGTTAGTAGTCGGAGAGTCTTTGGAACCAGTCTTAACGGAAAAGACTTGGACATCCTCGCATTTAACAAGATTCGCATCTTTATTTTAAGGCTGGGTAAGCCAATTGATTGGGTGCATGAGTGGGGACTTTTGATGCGAGTATGATCTAAGTGAATTGGGTTGCGTTAAACACCAAGTGCCGAAGCTGCTCGAAAATATCCACTTTGCACTTATAAAACTTCAAAAGACGCTGCGCAAAATGAAATTGACCTAGTTCGACGAGCTCGGTTTGCTTCTGTAAATATAGTCACAACGTAATAGCGTACCGAACGACCAATTAAGGTCATTGTGACATATTTGCTTGTCGACACTCAGATTCAATGAGACGGATAGACATCAGACTTGAGCGTTGCTTAATGCTTGATTTCGTGAAGTACTAGCCCGGCATCGTCGGTGAGGCGAAACACGATCTTATTCCTATCTCGTACGTTCAACTACTTTTGCCGTCTTCATTTCCCTACTGGTGCAGTTCCTTTTTTTTAAGAAAGCCCGACCTAGCAAACCTGTTGCAAGACACCATCCTGTCTTTACACGGGTAGATCATGGCAATATGGCTACCATGTCGTAAGAACTACAGCGCAAAGACAATCATGCTATGTATGAAACTTTCAAGAGGTATCGAAGCGATGGTATTTCTTTCGTTCCACCAATTACTAATTGCAGCTCAGGTGGACCTGCCTCCCCACTATCCGCACAAGTCGAAAGTGTATAATCCAATAATAGTCTCACAGGGCTGGCGCCAAACGATCCTCCCGGGACTACAACTCGTAGTATAATCCAAAAGCGAGACGGGTCGCCTCTCTTCTTAAGGCTATCAAATGTCCGCCAAGAGTCAGGCTAAGCTGCGATGGGCTGGGTCGGATCATCACGGTTGATGACCGACGCCAACGAAGAACCGCTCCATATAAAACCTCCTGTCTTTATCTTGGTTGGTAATGGAGGAGATGTCACATAGTTCTGGAGCAGTTCTTTGCCGTTTGGGAGAAGAACGCCTTTCATGTTGGCTTGTTTACTTGATCGTTTCTTTGTAGATCGGAAACTGAACTGCTCTAAAAGGTCTGCAATTGTATCAAAGTACTTTTGACTTCGAAGACGGGATGATGTAATGGGCTAAACTTAGCCATTACATGAAGTTACATTTATGTAGTATGAGAATTAATAAATGAAGATTACAGTATGGTGTTTCCAAATGCATGCGTGATTTCTTAAATACATTCTGTGTGAGGCAGAATGTTGACTCCTACTTGGGATCTGTCGACGTGTCTATGTCTTTAGAAGTGGGTGGCGTAAGCCAGTCACTTTTAATGGACACTTTCCACGAAAGTTGAAGCTGAAGCTTTCGAAGTAGGTGGCGTAAGTCAGTCCCTTCTACTGGATACCTTCCACGAAAGTTGAAGTTCAAGCTTTCGAAATTCTAGATCCGTACACCCAAGATATTTGATTAGTTGAAGCTGAGGTTCAACCTCAGTACACCCTTGATTTATATATCAGGAACCCAAGGATTTATTATTAAATCTGTAGAAGCTGTTGAAATGTTTTGCATGAATCTAGTAGTCATACTCCTTTTATTTAGCTGTAAATTTACTATTACTTCCCTCCAAGTCGGGACTGTCCTCTCCCCTCCACGTCAGGAAGCGCTTCCTCGTCGCACAAGCGTGTGTGTCGTGATTGAGGAACTGCTTGGGGACGGCGCCCCCTTACACCTGGTAACACTTAGAGCGGTGTTTCCAACGAC